GGTAATGATGCTTGAGTAATAGCATCTGGGCCTGGTGTACTACTTTTAACTTTGCTAGAACAGGCCTGTTCTAGTTCAGTTATTGATAGTATTGGCCACTCCCACTTTCCTTCGCTGTAGCTCGAGAAGCTAGGCGGCTGGGTAGTTGGAGGCGGAGGGAAAAGCGCCTTTCTAAAGGCTCTGCACTTTCCTTTAAACGTAGTCTCTAGGGCCTCTCCTTGGACCAACATGTGTATTTTTCTAGGTTAGCTCACGTCAAAACTCATGGTGGCGCTGTGTTGGGTTTCTACACCATGTCCTAATTTCGGACGGTCGGACGACGACAGCGAAAATTAGACCAAGAACAGAGATGAACAACAAGAGCAAGAACAATCAACATATCTCTCCAGCTTATTCAGATAATTAATGGTGGGCCTATACAGCTGCAGAGAAAATTTGAAAAAATCATAATAGATGCGTCTTACAATAAACTAGCACTCATATAGCCTTTAGGGCACGTGCGCAGGCACTAAACACCTAACCTCGTGTCAAAAAGCGTCGTCGTCGCCCAGTCCTATTGCATAAAAAGCGGGGCTTCAAGTGACTTCTGACACGAAACAAGTTGCTTTCCTCACCACTAGTTCCTTTGGGCACTCACACAATGGCATGACAACGTTACATGCTCCCGTCCACTATGCACGTGCTGTGCAACCCCAGTATTGACGGCATCTACACTGCAAGAACCATGTAGAATCCTCATGGCAGCATTCATCCGATATGTTGCTTGACTATACCTCTGATTTGCTAGAGAACTTTTGTGCATATAAAGACCTTGATGCTCCTCTCTGCCTTGAACATCCATCAATCAATCAACCAAGCAATCAGAACAACAACTACTACCAAATCACTTTCTACTACCATTTCCACCCTCTTCCCTCAAAATGAAGTTCTTCGCTACTTTGGCCCTCCCGCTCGCCTTCGCCACCCTAGCCATGAGCTCCCCGCTCGCCCAAAAAGGCCCAGTCCTGACTCCAGGCCCGGGCGTCTGTCCAGATGTTGGAAACTGTTCTTCTTCTTCCAACGGTACTTCGACTCCCCCCGCCCAAACCTGCACATGCCGCAGGGTTCTCGGTGTAAGTCTTGCCCTCGTTATCTCGCTTTCTTCTTCTTTACTGACGGAATTAGCAATGCCTTATCGTCAATGGATGTACCTGCTGTAGCTAGAGGGTTGGCTACCCGGCGGAGCATGCTGAGCATGCAATGATTTATGATATTGTTTCTGGGGTCTGGTATACGATTAGCGTGTGGAGCCTCCATATAGGGGTCGGGCTTGACTGGTTGTCTGTACGTTGTAGGGTTTACTCAGCGCTGGCGTATAGATCCAGACGTGCACCAATCAAGGTTTTATTATTGCTTTCGTTTCCTTCATGAAGGTACCCATTGCAGTGTTGCCGTACATGAAATACTGTAGAGTGTTCGCATCATCAGTTATTCGATGAGGTGGAACAATCTGAGAACCGTCAGCTGTAGGATGCAATGTTACATACGATTCGAAATGCACCGGATGCAGTCTCTCTGATCATGGCTGTGCCGCCGCATGGCGTGATTCGATGCCCGTTGCATGCACTACAGAGATGTCAACAATCAAGCCAAGCCAAGCTCCAGCTTGGCTTGCCTCAGCTTGATAGGCAAAAGCAAAACTGTCAGCTTGGCTTGGCTTGACTCAGCTTGGCTTGGTGTATCAAGCTAGCTTGATTGATGAGCTTGATGAGCTTGATGGTCATAGCGTCTTTTTCAAAGCTAGTTAAGTAGATAATATTAGCTATAGCTACAGCGACTATTCTTGGTGTTGAGTTTCGCTATCACTATTGATATCGCTATCCCACTTACTCAGCTCATACAACGTCTCTATACTATCATCACTTATAGTGACTTTTGAGCTAATATTATCGTTGCCTAAACTAGCTTTACGCCACCGTCGTACGCACTGTATCGCCGCCAAAAGCTGCGGTTGCATGCCTCGTCGGCGAGGCTCTAGTAGATCCCCAAGCTTACTGAACATGCGCTCACACTCGCAGCTTGACGCTGGTATCGAGAGCACGTCTAGCGCAAGCCTGCTAAGGCGTGGGTAACGATCTCGCATGAGTATCCAGTATCTTG